GTACGCGCCGCATCAGCGCCACCGGTGAGTTTTTCCTTGGCGCCGAAGAAGCTCTCCTGTCACCTTCCACATATCTCGTTCGAACACTCCCCTGTCGATAAAATAACTGAAGAGAGAGTGTACGCCTTCTTCGCTGGTCTGAGAATACTCCTCTCCCAACATCGCACGATCATCCTGTCTTTTACATCTTTTTACACTTATGTGTTTGACACTTTGCGGTTAGCTAAAGTTTTAGGCTATGATTTCTCAGGCTTTTGCCTACATTAGGGCGGCGGTGAGTCGCGTGGCTTGCGCACGGTCAGTGGATTAAGCCTCCATTCGAGTCTTGCCCAGCCATCCAAGCCAGCTGTCCCTCCGTACCTGACGAATCGACGCCTGGTTCGTTTGAAGAAAAAATACCAAATTGCTAGCACAAATATAAGCTTAATAATTGGCAAACGTCACTGCGATTCTGAATGAAAGCCGACCGAACAGCGTATTTCTATAAATCAAGGCCCAACTTAGGTTTTATTATTACTTTTGTTATCAGCACAGCATTTCTAAACATTTCTCGAAGTTCGAACTCTTAAACGCCGTTCTGAACAATACGACAATTACTAAATCAAATCAATTGGTTTATGATCAAAACGGAAGACGGTAGTGCGCTCTAATCGAGGTTCCCCGACGTGCGCGTATGCTGCGGCGCGTGTTTTACCACGATGAAGGTAAACAGTTTATCTAATGGTTATTACAGTTCTCTGAGCGGTAGAACATGGTTTCTGGTTTACCTCTCACTGTGCCATTCATCACAATAATTGTTTCGTAATTAATGGAATTACAGAAATGCGGAAGGACCTCCTTACTATTGTGCAGTTGGGGTTCGCTTTCTTTACTGTGTTTTCCGCTTTCAATTCCCAGGGTTTTATTGAAGTAAGTAAGTTCATACAGCTGAACCTTAAAGGCAAACAATCTATATTGGCGTAGTATTTCAGATTTCGGTGTTGAGAAGCCTCTCTCAGCATGATCCATCGTCTGGAATCACCTCGAATAGCGGTTATTACAGGTATTTTGCCTTTGCATTGAAAGTTTAGCCCTCCTCATGTAGCTCGCTGGAGTGCTAAAGCCAGAAGTTTTCAGTCTGGCTATTATTTACCTGGTCTTCACTGTTTGCAACCTCTTCGCACCCCCGATAATTCATGTCCTCGGGGCCAAGTGGGCACAGGTAGATTGAGTTTAGCTGAGTCATCGATACCGATCGTAAAGTGTGCTTACAGGTTCTCGGAGCAGCTTGTTACACGTCCTTCATGATTCAGTGCTTATTTTTGAACGCATGGAGACTTTATTTTTTCTCTGCAGTATTGGGATTTGGTGCTGCAGGTGCAGTACTTTTCTTTATTCTAGCTGCTAGCCTAGTTTTGGCTGCAGATCTGCTCTTTTAATAGTCTTCTATGTTCATTTCTACTTTCTTTAGTAATTTGGACGGCAAATGGCGCTTATCTGGTACAATTCTCCCGAATTGGAAAAATGGGCCGAAACAGTGGAGTCCTGTGGGCAATGTTACAGACATCTCTAGTCGCTGGAGCGATCTTTCTGTTTTTCGTCCTTAGCTATGGGTGAGAATCTCTTCCTTATATTCCTGAAGGACCTTCATCCAATTGTGTGCTTTTGATTTTGTGTTGGGATGTTTGTGCCAAAAATGCTTGTGATTGGTCAATTACTAGCGCTCACCAATCACAAGCGAATTTCGCCCTTTTCGCGCGTGTACAGCCCACATTTAGTTTGATGTAGATTCGCCACTCTCAATGTCTTCCGAACGCACTTTTCAGCGACCTTTTCTCGTCGTATCGATTCCTCTACAGCGCTTTCGCAGTCGTTTCAAGTATCGGAATCGTCACACTTTGTCTTCTACCATCTAGCCCACCTGTTAATTGTGAGTGAGCTTTGTCAATAGATCGGTTTCACACTCTGCATGCATGATTTGGCGAGATTTCACGGTCTATATTGCTGTCGTGAGTTTGTTCTAGTAGACGAAAGCCTCCAAGATCCACTTTTTGATGAAAATGCGGATGAGCTGGATGTTTCAGCTCCGGTCGACATAACTTCAACGAGGGATTGGCGCGAGGAATTCAGTAAGTTTCTTTTTTGGAACTATATTGGGACCGTGTCCGGGATGCTTGACTCTTGTAGAGCACACTTTCTCGCTTCTTGCCACCAGAGACATGATGCTTTTATCGGTATGTTTCCTGTACAGTGGTATCGAAACATCTTTCTATACAGGTACGGTTTCCTAGTTTATGGTTGTGATTTGTTGAACGAATTTGATAAGTTTTCAGGAGTGTATACAGCATGCCTTTCTGCAGCGACCGCACTGAATGGAGGCTCCGAGAAAATTATCGCATATGTTGTGTTTGCGATGGGCGCTGGACAGATCAGTGGTATGTCTCTGAAATGGTCCCCTTTTAGAACCTTTTTTGTCTCTCTTTCTTACCTTTGTATTCAAGACTCCTGTTGTTATGGTAAAAATGATGGCTCCCTTGGCTGCAATGCTACTACTGGTTTGTCGTCAATTTCTAGACAGTTGGCCAAGGCGCCCCCCCCCCACTTCCTTCACACTTAGGGGCGCGGTAGCGGCGATCGCGGTCGAGTCGGTGTGCCCGCGAACTTGGGCGGGAAAATTTGAAAAGCTCCATCAGCGCACCTTGAGTGGTTTTCAAATTTATCCGCACAGTTCGCGAGCACTGCCGACTCGCTCGCGCTCGCCGCGGCCGCGCCCAAGTGTGAAGAAAGTGGGAGAGATGCTAAAGTGCCTATTGCGATCTTCGCTTTGTAGCGCGCTATGCATATGTGGTGTGTGGTTGATCACTCCCTATGACCGGTTCAACTTATTTCAAAATTTACTGCACAATATGTGAGTTGCTGCATCCGAAAAAAGAAAGTAGAGTAGGGAGACGTCGGATTATGGAGAGAACAACTGAAACTCTTAAGCATTTTTAAAAGCGCATTGCATGTCGCATCGCATAGGCGGGGTTTGCTGTTTTCTTATCTGTTTGCCGTTTTTCGTACGTTAACACGTTGACGACAGCCCCTTATGCGTGTACCTCGGCAACTTTTTGTTTATTTTCTTTCACAATCGTCGTAACTTCTTCAATATTTCCTTTACTGGTAATTGGCTGACAGTTTTCGGATAAGATAACGCATGCACAC